AATGAGTTCCCCCAAAATATAAATCACACATTTATTACACTTGTTCCCAAGATAAAAAAAATCCTCAGAGAGTTAAGGATTTCAGACCAATTAGTTTCTGTAATGTCTTGTATAAATTGTTGTCAAAAGTTGTGGCTAACAGGATAAAAACAGCACTTCCTGTGGTGATTTTAGAAACACAATCAGCTTTCATAAAAGGGCGTCTCATTACAGACAATGTGCTTATGGCCTATGAACTACTTCATTTCCTACGAAAAAAAGAAGAAAGGCAAAAAAGGCTACATGTCTCTCAAGCTTGATATGAGCAAGGCATATGATAGAGTTGAATGGTCTTTTTTTGAGGCGGTCATGCACAAACTGGGCTTTCATGAAAAATCATCAACTTGGTGATGGCATGTGTTACTACTCCCTCTTTCTCGATACTCATCAATGACTCTCCCATGGGTCGCATAATCCCATCTAGGGGTTGAGGCAAGGGGATCCAATATCGCCCTACTTATTTCTCCTATGTACTGAAAGATTGATTAGCCTACTGAATGCGGCGGAAAGGAATAAAATGGTGAACGGTATTCAAGTGTGTAAAGGAGCTCCTAGTTTGAATCATCTTCTCTTTGCTAATGACAGCCTAATATTCTGTGAAGTAAATGTGGAAGCTAATAATCGACTCCAAACTCTCCTTAGTAGCTATGACGATGCCTCAGGTCAACAATTGAATAGAGACAAAACCTTTATGGTCTTTAGTGCAAATGTAAAGCCAGACAAGCAACAAGAAATTATGGCTCTATGGAATGCTCCTCAAATACAGCAATATGAAAAATATCTAGGATTACCGCCTATGATTGGCAGATCCAAAAGCGAGCCTTCTCTGAAATTAAACACAAAGTTTGGATGAAATTACAAAGTTGGATAAGTGGTATGTTTTCCCAAGGAGGACGAGAAATCTTCCTAAAATCAGTGGCTTTAGCAATCCCCTCCTATGAGTTGCTTCAAATTACCTCCACATTATGCACCGAAATTAAAAGGATGATGGCTAGATTTTGGTGGGGCCAAAGAAAGGAGGAACGAAAAATCCATTGG